AACCTGTGCTGGTGCCTCACTACCCTCCCACTGCAGAATTATTCTTCCTAATATCTAACCTAAATCTCCCCTCTTTCAGTTTAAAACCATTACTCCTTGTCTTATCACTACCCACTCTGGTGATCCACTCTTAGACCTCTCTCCATGAGCAGTTGCAGTTTTATTTACCTCTCCCATTCATCATAGGAGGGTCACAGCCACTTGGCATTTCACAGGCTGGGACCTTAGGTAAATAAATACAGGACAAAATGGGAAGATCAGATCTGGACCAGAGCCTTCTCAACGTTTTGGTCCTTGTTTGCAGTATTCTCTAAGGTATTGTTGAATTCAGCTGAGACCTTTGTCATCTTTGCTATGACACTATGAGCCAGCCCATTATCACTGATGTGGAACACATGAGATCACAGACACTGCTGAACTTCTTCACTTTGCTCCACTCATTCCCTCTTGCCTGGTGAAGATGACAATCCAATTGTTTTATACTAAGATTAAAAACCAATGTTTTATGGATAAAAGGAAGAGGAATGTGCATTCCACTATGGTCTCTAGCTCCCAGGCCCTTCCCTTTCACAAGCCAACTGCTTTCCCCCAGTGAGTATTTCCTGGGTCATGAAGGGTGACCCTTTCCATCTGGAATCAATCAGTCAACTCCTGACAACTTCCTGAAACACCTCACTCCATTTCCTGTTCTCTCCCCCTTCTCTCTTTCCCCCTGGTTTGCTTCACTCTTCAAAACTGCAGGCCACAGCAGCTTAATGTTAGAGGGTCAGACACAGTTAGACTCCAAAACACTACACAAGAACACCTTTGACCTTCAAAAATCTTTACATCTTAGCTAAACAAATCAAGGTCAACGTTTCTTACCATTACCTTGTTAACCATTTCTATGCATTTTTGCCAATACCCTTCTGAACACGTATTTATCAGTAACACTTGTTCTACTAACATCATAAAATATACTAGGACTTTTTTTTTTTATAAAACCCCCCCTGTATTTAGTGCTGATGAAAGGTGATGTGCAAACTTCCTTGGAGAAGATTTAAATTCTCAGCTCTGTTCACAGCACTGGCAAATCACTGGCAAATTATTTTGGTGCTGCTTTTTTTTTTTTTCCTGGTCTACTTCTTGTGTATGGTAATTTGGCTTCTATGCCTATTCAGTTAATGGTCTTTTACCCAAAATCAGCAGTTAATGCAAAATGTGATCCTAAGGGAACGATCCGAGAACATCAAAATATGCCAGGTAGGCCATGGGTTCTGATAATTGCAGCTGAGGGCCAAATTTGACAATCACTTAGGGACTACAGATTTTGTGCTGTCCAGGAGTTGGATCAACCTGTCTCCTCTGTTGAGAGTTCCAGAGGACAACCAATTCCTTCATCCACCCAAGTGCAGGTTCCATCTCCAGGAACAGCAAGGGAGTTACAGGCTTCTCACTGGTGTTTTCAGCAGTTCTTAAGATTCTCTCTGCAAACCTGCAAGGTCTTGTTAGCTCAGAACCCACAGACATCAAGCAGTGATTCCTCCAGCAGTACTGAAGAAATGCATGTGCTGTAACTCCACATTATTTTTGTTTCCCAGGTGGATTTCTGGAATGTGATCCCTGCTCAAAAACCAAACTGAGGGTTCATCTACCATGACATTCAGTCAAACTGTCTTTAGCACGTTAAGCTCAGGTTCTCCGAGCTGCACTGCTCCTCTTTCACTTCCCCTCACAGACCAAAATGCTGTATTTCTTTACAAACCTCTACCTGGGCACTACAATTTCCACCCACCTATATGAATACTTCTATATTGTGAAGTATGCTCCTCTTCAAATCCCATACATGCAAGTAACTACACATCTTCATATATACATAAAAGCTGTATCACTCACACACACCTATTTAGACATATGGTACAAACATTCCAGGCATACAGGCATTTACTTACATGTAACATATCTCATCACTGTGTAAATGATCTCTCTCAAAAAATTCCTGTTACCATTCCAAGTGTGGAAAAAATTCTTTATGACATTGTACATCTGGAAACAATATTACATTCCTGATGCACTTTCTCTTCTAACTCTCTAGTCACAGCAACATGTTATTTTAACTTTTCAAAAGAATAACTACTATGAGGATTTAAAAAATTATAATCATTATTATTATTTTCCAGCTGGGTGGAAAAAACTATGTCAGGCCTCATCTTGCTGTCCTCACTTGGACAAGGCTCCCATTGATGTCAACAGGCGTTTTGGTTGAGCAAGTAATACAGGAGTAGATGCTAGAATATAATGTGTTTGCTTCATAGTTGGATTAGGAATAAGATAAACAATGTGAAAAATGCCAGCAGCCTCTCTCTGCTCAAGACTTCCATTGAATTCTTTGGGAAAGCCTCCCTGAGCCTGCTGCAAACTCCAGGCTACCAGAAAAACCTACGCACGTGGCCTTCATTTCAGGAACAGGCCTCTCCAGATTACAGGGGCACAGGGGTAGGAGATAACTCCTGGGTCACTGACATCTGGTCTCCTGCTATTACAGACAACCAAACCACACAGCTACTTTTATATAAAATTGCCTTCGACCATTTCAAGCTTTTGCCTTCGTTATTCCTCTTGTTTTAAAGCCTACTTGTCCTGACTGTCAGGGAAATTATGGTTTATAGCTACTTTTATATAAAATTGCCTTCAACCATTTCAAGCTTTTGCCTTTGTTACTCCTCTTGTTTTAAAGCCTTGTCCTGACTGTCAGGGAAATTATGGTTTACAACCTAAATTGATTCCTAGTCAGTTTATACTTAACACTAGCTTTAGAATTATTATTTCCCATCTGATCTACCTTAGGATGTTTTTAGACAGCAGTTATGTCCCTTCTCTAGTATGTCACTGAAGTGTTTCAGCCAAGCTCTTGTCCATTCCCAGATCACTTTAATGACCCATTCCTACACCTGTTCCAAATTCATTTTCACCCTCTCCTGAAGGTGGCTAAACCAGTATATTCTATTCCAAACAAGAAATCACTGGGGTTCAACCACACAATTGTATCCTTCTTTCCACTGGCAAAGCTCACCTGAGATGTAACAGAATCCCTCCTGTGGTTTGTTTTTAAAAGACAGTACACACCTCTGGCACCTCACTGCTACTTGGCCATTTGAGCTTCTGATCTGAG